CTCCACCGGCGTCTGGCTCTCTAAGGGCGCCCGTCCTCCCAGCCGCCTCAGACCACCCGCCTGCTCCCAGCACCCTGGCCACAGTCCTGAAGCTGCCAGCCTCTCCCGGCCTCCAGGGCCGCAGCTGCCCCTCCGCCTGCTTTGCTGTCTCCCCACCCCCACCCGGGAGCCCCAGGTGATGTAGGGAGGTGGCTCTTGGGAAGCTCCGCCCACCTAAAGTTTCGTGAGAAGGGTGCCGGGACTGGAAAGGTCGCTTGCACTCTCTCACTTCCTTCACTAGCCTCTTTAACTTGGGGAGCCCTAGTCCATTTCTGTCCCCCGCTGGGGCAGCAGTTCTGGCTGGGACGGGTTTTGCAGCCGACACGGGTGTGACCCTGGGCGGGGTGCTCCCCTTCTCCTCAGGGGCTGGGGGGCAGGGCGCAGAGCGCAGGGCGAGACAAGATAGGCTATCGGTACTCCTTGCCTGACCCCAGCCCCCACCTACTCCCAGCTCAAGAAATGCTCCCCTCCCCACGACCTACAAACGTGGTGGCTGGAGGACGAGGTGGCCTGAGACTGTGAGGCACTGGACTTGGTCTGGGACCTGGCAGGACCGCAGAGCCTACATCTCAGCATTGGGGTGGGGTCCTATCCCCCTCCGGGATCGGGTGGAGACTGGCCGTGGGGGCGGGAGAGGGGAGCCTAGCCTGTCCTGGAGCTCCCTCTAGTGTCATCAGAGGGACTTGCAGTCTGTCCTTTGGGGAGGGCCGGGTTTGTCTAGACCAATATCCCGAGCTACCTGGCCAGCTCCTTTCTCCATCCTCATCACTGGGGGTTCACCAAGCTGAGGTGCCGGGGTACACTCTGGCTTTCCCCCTCCTTCGCAGCCCCAGCAGACACCAAGGTCTGTAGTTTCTGCCCCACAAATGTCCACGCCTGCTGTCCACTGTCCGGTGTCCTGATTCAGCCTGTGAATTCCCCTGGAGTCCTCCTACCCTTACCCGCCTGCAAGGCGCCTCCCACCCTCCTCTGGGAGGGAACTCCCCCACAGGCAGGCCTGACCGAGCGGCCCCTGCCCGAACGCCTTCCGTGGCTCCCCGGTGCCTCCAGGACAGAGCCCTCTCCTCGGCCCCTCACAAGCTCTGTGCAAGCTGCCCTCTGCTGGTGGCCTCCCCTCTGGTCACAGCCCCCCACCCCGTTCAGACCACGGGGAGTCCTCGCCCATCTGCAGTCCCGAGGGGCACGAGCCCTCTCTCACACCGGACCCTTGCCCATGCTGGGTCGGCAGCCACGCTGCCTTCTGCCTCCGGTGTCTCCTCTTCACACTCCAAGGCCCTACCTCCTCTGGGAAACTGCTGTCTGGCGCTGGCCTCTCTCTCCTGGGGGCCCCCACCGGGCTTGCGCAAGCGCCTCCCAGCAGAGTCCGTTTGTCTATTTTCCCACCAGATGGGAACTTCCCAAGGGCCAGGGCTCTACGGCCCTCCCGTTTGTTAATCACCTGCTCTGTGCCCTGTGGGTGTGTGGAGGGGGTAGGGGAGCCGATGGGGTGATGGCGTGGATTTGCTCTGTGGGGTGGGGAGGAAGCAGGGGGCCCCATTATGAGGACTTTTGGTATCAGGCTCAGGAGTGTGGACTTGGCCTAAGGGCACCTAAGAGTTAACAGGCCAGAGACACAATGTGGGATTTGGAAAAGCCCCTCCGGGGGCTGGTGTGGAACCCAGCACCCTCCTGGGAGCTGTTTCGGGCATGGGGGTGGTGGATGTTTTCAGTTTTCTTGATGACTCAGGGGAGGGAGCGCCACTGGCCTCCAGTGGGTGGGGCCTGGGATGTGCAGGACGTCCCTGGAGCACAGAGAATGCCGCTTGACTTTGGAATGTCCTGCCAGACATTCGTGTACAGGAAAAAAGGACCTGTTTGTAAGTGTCTGAGCGAGCTCAAGTCTTGCATATAAATACGGAGAGCATTTTGAATGCTCTAAATTTTAACATACGCTGAATTTGCTAGAAATACAACTTCCATGTAAATTGAAGGAAGATTGCTCTTTCTCTTGTTCAGAAGCTTCCCTAGAGTTGTCATAATACTGGAAAATTATGTACTTAATGTCAATGCTGCCGTGGTGTGTGAGTTGCCAACTTGACATTCTCTTTATCAGTCTGCATTGCGGCTGCCACATTCAGGGGCTTCTATGGGTAGGCACAAGCTTATCATTTTATTATGTCTCCTAGTGGAGTCAATAAAAAGTATTTACTACTTGAAATACACATCATCCTAAATTACTTTCCTTATTAGTTTAACCAAAAACTCACTTAGTTCTTAACATGTGCCAGTCACTGTTCTAAACGCTTCATGAATAACTACTCGCTTAATCCTCACAACAACTCTATGCAGTGAAGTGCTGCACAGAAAATAATCCCTTTTTTACTGGGGAGCTGAGACAGAGAGGTTAAGTGACTCACCCAGGGTCGCACAGCTGAGAAGTGCAGAAGCCAGGATTGGAACCAGCGTCTGTGCACTTTATCACTAACCTATGATGGCTTGCTCTGATGTTTTAGAGCATTGGGATGGTTTTCTTTCAGGAATCACATTTATGTGTGTGCCATTTCATTTCAGAGTAACACAGGGTGATACAATGTATCCGTTGCAGGGGTAGGGGGGTTTGAAACAGGCTTAAGGATCACTGGTGGAGGGCTCACCAGAGAGCCTGGGTGCGGGTGTGCTCGCCGCAGGAGCGATGTGTGAGAAGGGGACTGGGAGCAAACCCCCACACACTCCAACACTGTGGGAGAAAAGAGAGCAAGGAACATGGGGAAGGCCTCTAGAGACCCAGGGCAGTCAGTGCTGAAGGTGGTCCCATATTTGGCCACAAGGTGGCGCATAACGGCTGCGGGACAGAGGGTGGGGGGCGGGGCTTGGATGGACTCGACCTGGCGCCCTTCTGGTCTGAGGTTCATTGTAAAAGCTCCCGTGTTTGTGTCTGCACGTCCAGATGCTCAAGGGGCTGCGGGAGCCTTGCCATCCCTCTGCCCCCCGACCCACCCCCCGGGGCTGCTTGGATCGCTTGGGAACCTCTGAAAAGCCGAATAAAGAGGACTTGCGTTGTCACTTCAGATCGCTACAGCCGTTCGCCTTCATCACAGGGAAGGCTCTCCAAGACCCCCAGCTGGTGCCTGACACGCGGATGGTACCGAATCCTGCACATACTACGTTTTTTCCTATACAGACATACCTAGGATAACTAGGTATTTACCTAGGATTTAATTTTTAAATTAGGCACCGTAAGAGATTAACAATAGTAACTGCTCATAAAACAGATCAGAACAATATACTGTAGCAAGTTATGTGAATGTGGTGTCTCCTTCATAGTATCTTACCGTGCCACGCCCGCCCTTCCTGTGATGACATGAGGTGATGCGAAGCCAAAGCGCAGAGATGAGGCGAGGCGCTCAGCACGGCACGCGACCGGAAACTTAAGAATTCTTTACTCCTCAAATCTTCCCCTTACTGTTTTCAGACTGTGGTTGGCCACAGGTACCTGAAGCTGGGGAAGACAAGCCCACAGGTCAGGAGGACTACTGTAAAGCCTTCCGCAGTGCAGACTGCCACCACTCCCGTTTTACAGATGGGGAAACCGAGGCCCAGAGACGGCAGTCCTGTGCTGAGGTCACCCTGCAATCAACAGTGGAATTGGGCTCAAACCCGCACCTACTTAGCTGAGGGGCCAGTGGGCAGCCCCCGCCACCCACGCCGCGTGTCATGCCCACCGTTCCCTTCCCTGAACTTTCAAGGGCCACTGCCCACCCCCCTAGAGCACCCGGGGACACCCTCAGTCGCTGCTCAGGCCTGTCTCTCAACGTGCCCTCGGACGTCAGGGACACATCGCAGAGCCCCGCACAGGACCTGGGTGGCCTGAGTCCAAGGTCACTGAATTGGGCCAAATGGGGATGCACTGGCAGGGGACAGTGGCTTGGTCCCGAAAGTCCCTTCAGCACGGGATTCTCCCTCCCCTGGAGTGAAGGGCAGTGGAGGAACGGGCTGTTCTTTGATGTTGCTGTGCCTTTGAGATGACCTGGGGCCAGGTCCCCTGAAGTACTCCTCCTCTCCGCCCAAACAGCATTGCCCTCTGCAGCTGGGAGCAAGCAAACACCAAGTGCAGCAGGAGACTGTGAAGTTAGACAACAAGGAGGCCTTCCGGGGGGCAGGACAGGAAAGCTTGCCTAGTTAGCGCTGCTCTTCAGTGGAAGGGGCTGGCTTTAACAATGGAGAGGTGTCTGGAGCTGCAAACAGCAGAGGAGACCTAGGGGCAACGCGGACAGGGGTCTGGTGGGGAGTGAGGGAGGGGGGAGACGGGGCCTTCCCCTGAGGGCCACGGTGGGTGCGGCTGTGTGTGGCCATGAAGGAGTGGGATCCAGAGGCACTGAGAAGGAAGAGTTGCCAGGAGCGGTGGTCGACTGAATGTGGAGAGGGGACAGGGCGTCGGGCTGCAGTGTGGGGGTCCCTTGCAGAGGTGGGAGTTAAGTGGGAGGGAGTGGGGCTTCTGAGCCCATCTAGGAGGCTGGGGGGCTAGTGGATGCGCAGGCCTGGGCTGAGCACAGCCCAGCAGGGCCGGATGGCTGAGGGCCTGGAGCGGTGGCCTCACCTGCAGAGAGGGCCCCCCAGAACAGGCATTTCTCTGGGGAGGCTGAGGCAGCACAGCCCAGAGCGGGGAGGCCAAGGCAGTGGGGGTGTCAGGGGAGAGAGTGGTGGGCGCTGAGGTGAGGGCAGACCCAGAGGGGCCGTCGGCCTGCCTGGAGCCCAGGGCCTTGGGGAGGCTGGGAGGGTCAGACCCTCCTCCAGAGCCCTCTAGGAGGTGGGGCGGCTTGGGAGGGCCTGGGCTGGGGGAAGAGGCGGGAGGGGAGGGCGGGCGGGAGGGAGGGGAGGAGGGGCCGGGCCTCTGTCCACGGCATTAGTGCTGGTTGGAGGGAGAGGGGGTGCGCCGCCAGCCAGGCCTCTGTTCCCACAGCCGCGGAGCGCGGCGTGCTGCCATGGCGCTGGCCGGGCCAGGCCCCCGGGACCCCCGGCTCTGGGCCCCTTTCTTGCTGCTGCCGCTGCTGCTGCTGCTGCTGCTGCCGCTGCCCTGGGCCCCTGCCCTCGCCCTCCTGGCCGGTGAGTGGGGGGCACAACCCCGGGGGCGGGAGGCTGGGGCAGGGTCTGCCTCCCGAAGCAGACGCCACAGGCTCTGGGGCTGTCTCTGTGGGCACTGGGCCAACTGTAGGGCAGGGTGCAGGCCTGAGTTGTGGGGCGTGGGGAGCGCAGGGTGTGGGGGAGCGCGCCGTGGGGCCGCTGGAACTTGTGGGGAGCGAGCGCGACCTGGGACTCAGGGGCTGCTGCGTGTTGGGGGCCGGCGGCTGTGATCTGGGCCACGGGGGGGGGGGGCTGTGTGTCCTGGGAGGGGTGCTGGGGCTGGGAGGGCTGGGGTGAGAGGCCTGTGCTGGGTGGTGGAGGGCAGGCGGGGGTGCGTTAAAGTTGGGAAGTAGGGTGAGCTGTACCAGGTGAGGCCGCGCCGTGTCTGAGGCTTCCTGAGTGCGGTGGGCAGTGTCTCAGCGTAAGTTGTAGGGTGTAAGTTGTCCAGTGAGTTGAACTGCGTCATGGGAGCCCGGGGGTGGGTGGGTGGGTGGGGCAGCAGACCCCAACCCAGTAGACTGGGGTGAAGAAGCAAAAGCAGACCCAGGGGAGCCGATGTCTGCCTGTATCCCCCCATGGGAGCCCTAGCCCTGCCTGCCCTGGGGAGCTGCAGGTGCGCAAGGGTCCCTAGGGGGTGGCCGAGCCCAGGGCCCCCTTCCCAGGCTTTCCCAGATGGAGCTGCAAGGGCTTCCTGAAGCCAGACCCCTTTTGCCAAGCAGTTTTTGCTTTTGTCCAAGTGGATTCACGTGTGCACGCGCGGGCCTGGAATTCTTCCTGGGGGTTCTGGGGGACGCTTTGTCTTGGTCACTATGGCTACTCAGGCCTGGGCTGGGAAGTCCCCCGCCCCCACTGCCACTGCTGGAGGAGGGAACCAAGGACAAGGGTGGCCTGGGCTCCACTGTGGCCAGGGGAGCCCCCGCCTCCCCAGACTCGCAGGGTGCGGAGTCAAGGCCCCCTTCACCCCCTCCTATAGCCCCTCACAGGGTCTGGCTCACAAAGCCTTTGTCCCCTCCTCTCCACAGGGCCTGTGGGGAGGACGAGGACCCCTTTGTGCAGTGGAGGAAACCAAGGCTCAGGGAGGAATGGGGGCTTACGGGCTGGGCCTCCCTGGCAAACCTGGTGCAGGAGTCTGCTCTCCACACCCGGGGACAAGAACTCCTGGCGCGTGGAGCTGGTCCTATAATGCACACACAAATGCACACCTGTGTGTGCACACACAAGTCACAGCTGTGCACACACACACCTGCGCACTGGTGTGGCATGCACAAGGGAACACACAACCACACAAACAGGTGTCCACAGGTGCATGTAGACCCACCAGACATGCACTCACGCACATACCTGCAAGTGCCTGCACCCACCAGTGCGTGTACTTTGACTCGTGTGCATTCACACTCGAATGCACATTCCTGTGGACCTCGAAGCAGAGTGAGCACAGAGGAGATCGAGGCAACAGAAGGAAACAGACTCAGAGAGACACCTGCCCCACACGCCACTGCTAGGGTCTCCGAGGGCAGCCTCTCCCCTGTGATTTCTGCACCGGGGACGGCTCCCGGGGGATCCCTGAAAGCTGGGGTGGTGGGGGCACTGCAGGAGTGAGCACTTCTGGAGGCCGGCACCCCAGGCCTGACTGCCCGGAGGAGCGGGGCTGGGCCGGCATCACTTGCAGAGCCCCGGCCCAGCTCTGCTGCCCGCCCTGCCAGGCCCTGAGCCTGGCCCGCCGTCTGAGCCCACTCTGCCACAAAGGCCCCGCCGGTTGCTAGGAGAGGACCAGGCATCTTGGCGCACAATGGGGCGCGCTGGGCTCTCAAGTCCCTCCTGCTCCCCGCACACCCAGGGAGCCTGGCTGACGAAGGGGCGGGATGGTCCCGCGTCCCGCTCCCCCTCCAGCCAGCGCTGGGAGGGGCCGCAGGATGAAGCAGGGAACAGGAGCTGCGCACACCCCAGTGGCAGGGCCCGCTGGGCAGCCAGTGTTTCCCAAGTAAAGATTTGTTGACGAATGAATAAATAACATCCTCAGCCCCTGCGTGGCCGGTGCTGTGCTGTCGGATCCACGTGATCGAGTTCAATTCTCACCACAGCCCTGTGACGCCCTCGGCTGACAGAGGAAGAAAGGAGGCCCAGAGCATGTCAGTGACTTGTCCAGAGTCACAGACCTAGTGGGGGGGGGGGGGGCAGGGCCAGGATGTCACAGCCGACTATGGTACTAACCGTTGCAAAGTCACCTCTCTGCCTCTGTCTAAAGGGGACACACCAGCTAACCCCAAGGGCCATTTATAAGACCTGGTGAAAACATGCCCTGGTTCTTCAACTTAGGTTTGGCATGGAATCCTGTTTCAAAGGAAACTTGAGACAGAAGTCAGATCCCAGTTGCGGTAAGAAGTGGAATAATTACCAGTGGCTGGAGCCCCACCTGCTCCCTCCGCCCCTCACTGCGGAAGTGCCTCCCTGTCCCCAGTGCCCTGGGACCGCGGTCTGGAAATGCTGGGACGTTTGAGTGCCAGGAATGGCGCAGGACGAGAATCCCCAAGTTATTGTTGTGGTTGCTCTTAAAAAAATTACACTTTTAACCCCGGGGTAAACACTTGTAAAAGAGTATTCCAAACTTTCCTGCCCCGCACTGCTGCTCAGCCCTAGCCTTGGGGACTGACATTGGACGAACATGTCCCTTCTGCCAGGAGCTCCCACGTCTGCAAGATCATGGGTCACGTCTCCTTAAAATGTTTTTCCCTTTGACTTTTAGAGGAAATCTTTTGTTCTAAATTTGTTTTGGTGAAGTGTATTGGGGTGACATTGGTTAATAAAATTCTGTAGGTTTCAAGTGTGCAATTCTACAATATACCATCTGTCAACTGCATTATGTGCCCACCACCCAAAGTCACTAGGTTGCTTCTTAAAAATATCCTCTCTTGCCTTGTCAAGACCAGAAAGAAGCATCCCAAAATCCTCCCTCAGGCAACAGCCCGAGTGGCTGTCGGTTAGCGCCGGGTCTGTGCACAGGCCCAGGGAGCAGGAGTCACTGGGCACTGGGCGAGGCCTGAAGCCCCGTGGGGCTGCCAACAGCCAGGTGCCGGGCAGGCTGGGAGGGCTGCCCCTCTGCCAGGCAGGCCCTGGAACCTGCACTCTACGCCCGCGCCAGCCTTCAGAGGCCCTCCCAGCGCCCGGGAGGCTGGGCCGGGACGCAGCACAGTGACGGCAGGAGTCGGGGTTTTACGCGCACCAGGAGACGGGCGGCCGCTCAGGTGTCAGGAGCCGATCGAGCTGCTCCTTCGTTTTTTGAGGGATGATCCAGGGTAGGTTTGTGATCTCTGAATTAGAAACACTTTTCTTAACAGCACCCATGTCTTCCGGTTTACATCAATCTAATAGTGTAATAATAGACGCAAGATGTGTAGCCCAGCCGGGAGCGCACAGTACATGCTCAGTAAACAGTTGCTGTTAACGTAATCCTGTCCTGTCCACGGAGAGGTTTCCCTTCCCTTCCCAGCAATGGGTCCCGGGCCTTTTCAGGGCTGGGCTGCAGGTCTGAGGGGAGGGGCAGTGTTAGCTAATCCCTCTCCTGCCAGGTCGTCCCAGGCTGCCGAGGGGTCAGGAGGGATTTGTAAAGATAAGCACAGGCCCCTTGTCACCCTGGCAACAGGCCCCGCCCCTCCAGCCTGGCCCCTGGGAGGGCCCCTCCTCTGCCCTTGCCTCTCCTCCCCTCAGCCCGGGGCTGGCGGGGCCTCCTGGGCTCGTTCCTGGGAGACAGAGAACCCGAGGTCAGCAGTTCCCGAGCCTCCACATACAAAGGAGTCCCCAGGGAGCATATTGCGATGCAGATTCTCGGGCCCTGGGCCCAGTGGTTTTGAATCTCTGGGTCTGGAGCAGGCCCAGGAATAGATATTCTTAACGCAGGCAGAGGGGGGCCGGCCTCTGGGAACTCTGGCTGGAGGCTCTGCAGCAGGGAGAACGGGGTTTGACTTTTGACCCTCACAAGCTGTGGGGCTGGGCCTCACTTTCCTGAGCTGCGACCCAGGCAGGGCAGCGTCCCCATCTCCTCGGGGAAATGGGAAGAGTAACTGAGAGGACACAGGCAGGCTTTTGCGGCTCCTGAACGCCTGCCTCTCCGCCGGCTCTGACCAGGACTCCTCCTCCCTCCCAGGTGGCGGGACTCACCTGGGGCTCTGCCATTTAGGGCCACAGCCCACCTGCACCCACCCTCCCCACTCCCCCAGGCGCTGTGTACCCGGCCTGGTCCCGGCTGCTCCAAAACCGCAGGCTCGGAACCGGGACAAACCTGCAGAGTGGGGCGGGGTCCCTGGGGACACTCGGATGAGGGGCTGCGTCTTGTCAGGATTAAATCGCACAGGACCCAGCAGGCAGGTCCCTTCATGGGGGAGCCCTGATTCTCGTGCTCCGGCTCCTGAGCTGGGCTGGGTCGAGGGACTTGGGTTACAATGGCCAGAGTCCTCACTGAGGGCCCACTGGGTGCCAGGGCTTCACGCGCGTTGCCCCAGTGGCTCCTTCTAGCACCCCATGAGGTGGTACTGTTTGCACCCCAAGCTGGATCTGTCTGACGCCCAAACCTGTTCCTTCTGTGCCGGAACGAGACCCCCCAGCCCCCCGACCTTCCTCCCACCCCCATCACAGCATCTAGCCCAGGGTGGCGCAGCCCCTCGGAGCGGGGAGAAGAAAGATGGGCTGCCCACGGCCCATCAGAGAGGCTCGGGTACCCCCGCCCCCGCCCCTGGGACCAGGCATGGGCGGGGTGCTGGGGACGGCGCCCTGAGCTGCGCGGAGAAACAGTGGGCAGAGAGGGGCTGTGGACGCCACGGCCCAGGAAGGTCGTCCGGTCTGACGGCATTTGAGGCCCTGTGCCCCTGCCGCGAGCCTGGCCCTGGGTGGGCACGAGGGCCCCCGGTTCGGGTCTAGGAGTGAGCGAGCCCATGCTGAGCTGTACCAGGTGCTCTGGGGTGGGGTGACAGCTGGGCGCTCCCCGAGCCTATTTGTTGGTCAGCGTTTCCATCCGCATGTCCCCCACCGTGCATGGCCCTGGCCGGGAAGGGTGGGGGTCAGCCAGTGGACAGCCCTGCCTTGTGGAATGTGGATGACGCCCGAGAGGCGGCTGGGCCTTATCTGGGGGTCTCTACCGGGGTGGGGGAGGGGAGGTGCAGGGCCTGGTTAGTGTCTGGATGACAACTTGATGGGAGAAGGGGCACCTCTCAAAGCCCCAGGTGGGAGGGGTGCCTCCTTCTTGTGGGCGGCTCTCCCTCCCCCATCACTTACTGAGTTTCTACAAGTGAGCACTTGACTGCAGTACCCGAGGCTTTGAATCCTAACCCACCCTGGGACGCAGGGACTATCAGCCTCTCCCTTTCAGGGTGGGAGCTGTAGCTCCGCAGGAGAATGACTTGTCCAAGGTCTGAGAGATAGTAATTGAGCTGGAATCTAACCCGGGCTGTTTTACTCCAAAGCTCAAGTTCTTGCCCCAGAATTATACAGACAGGCAGGGAGGTGGGGAGGGTGGGAGGCTGGCTCTCAACCCGGCTTGGCTCCCTGATCTGTAGGTGATGCTGTGGAACAGAGTGAGCTCAGCAAGGTGTAGGGGTTCAGTCAGCAAGTCTCGGTGTCTGCCCTGCACCCTGTAACCCTGGCCAGGCTGTCTGCTCACGCGCTGGCTGACAGCAAGGGCCAGGGGTCCTGCGAGAAGCTCCCAGGGCAGCGGGGCAGCGTAGGGGGCAGAGAGCAGGGTGGGCGGGGTGTGGAGAAAGGCCTTTGAAGTCCTTCATCTTCAATTTCACGCAGGGATGGAGTTACCAGACCCCCAGCAGGAGCGGTGGAGGGGGCAGTGGGAAGAGCCCCCTCCTGGGCCTTCAGGGAGGGAGGGGGCCATAGGTGGGAGACCCAAGGAGACCCCCTCCCCTGTGGGGCTGAAAGGAGCAGGCAGAGCTGGGAGGCTGTCCCAGCACCAGCTTGCCATGTGTCCCCAGCAAGTCCTCGCTTCCCCCCGAACCCCCATCTGCCCTCCTGTAAAATGGGCACCACAGAACCCGTGTCAGAGAGGCGCCAAGGGGATGCAGGCCCGAGGGGTGCAGAGCCCCCAGCCGGCCTGCCCGTTAATCCTGAGCGGGGAGCCCGACATCCCAGGTCCTAGTTCTCTGCTAGGGAGGCGCTCCTGAAACTGGTCCTCTTCGGGGGTAGATGTGGGCGGCATGCTGGGACCTGGCTGGTAGGGCTCTGGCCCGCCCTCCGTCCTGGAGTACGGGCAGCCCTCTGCTGCTTTCCGGCTCCGGGGCCTGGGGCTCGGTGGGTGAGGGGAGGGGAGCGTCTGGTAGCTCCTGCCCACCTGGTCTCCTCTCTCTACAGGAACGGTGCCTGCACAGACCCTGAGTGCCTGTGCCTTGGACCCCTGCACCCCAGGGACCGAGTGCCAGGCTACGGAGAGTGGCGGCTATGCCTGCGGCCCCACGGAGCCCCAGGGCTGCGCCGCGCAGCCCTGCTACCACGGCGCCCTGTGTGTGCCCCAGGGTCCAGGCCCCAGTGACTTCCGCTGCTACTGTGTGCCCGGGTTCCAGGGCCCACGCTGTGAGCTGGACATCGATGAGTGTGCGTCCCGGCCCTGCCGCCACGGGGCCACTTGCCACAACCTGGCCGATCGATACGAGTGCCACTGCCCCCTCGACTATGCAGGTAATGGCCCCGGCTGTGCCCAGAGGAGGTTTATAACATCGATCCCATCGGTGGCTCAGGGTGCGAAGTCATGCGTTCAGCTTTGACTTTAATACAGACACCTCTCCCCGCCGCCCCCCGCCGGGCATCCTGGACGCTCCTGGGTGCAGCCTCTCTGGGTCTTGCTACAGGGGCGATGCCTCTCAGGCTGACCTGGCAGCTCCGCATGAGAGTGAATGTGCAAGGGCTGGCACAGGGCCTGGCACGTAACGGGCACTGGGAGTGTTTGTTCAGTCCCTTCTAGAGTTCGGTATGGGCTGGGGGTGGAGACACCCTTCAGGCGTCCCTGGCGGGACCAGAGCACCGGTGCTCCTGGTTGGGCTTTAATGAGCACACATCTCGACAGTATTTCTCGCATCTACTCCAGGCCTGTGTCAGGCTGGGGTGCAGGCCCTGTCCACTCAGCGGATCATTTTAGCGCGTGAACACCCCTGGTGTGGCTCAGGTTTGTAATGGTGGTCTTGTTCAAACTGTAATGTCGATGGGCCCCCCAGGGGTCTCTGCGGTCTCCAGCGGGAAGTGGGTGATAATGTATATCCAAGTGCTGACACTGAGGAAATGCTAGTTCCCTCCTCCAGACTTTGGCCCGGACCCAGTCCCTTCTGTGCTCCAAGACAAAAGCCATCGGAGTGACTACCGGGAAGCTGGGAAGGAGGGCGCAACGGGGGACAGGTCTGGAAGGAGGCTGGGCCTAGGGCAGCTGGGAGCCCGTGGTACAGACACCCTGGTTTCAGACAACTCTCTCTGAGGGCAGAGGGCAATGCGAGGTCACCTCAGAGCAAGGGGCACACACTGGGGGGGCTGGGTTCCCAGGAATGGTGCTTATAATGAGGAGGTAGGTCTCAGCACGCAGATGAAAATGGACTCTGGAAACGGGTTCCATGTGTCTTTCTCATCATCTGAGGGCCTCGGTGTCTGGATAGGTTGAGGGGGTGGGGTGTGTGTGTGTGTGTGTCTGTGTGTGTGGAGTGTCTGCCAGCATTTGTGGTGTCCGGGCTCCCTGAGCGCCTCTGCGCTGAAACGCCGTGCGTGAGCACCAGCAGGTGCGCGCGCCCGGACGTGGTGCTCAGGCGCTCCGGGGAAGGCTCTCTGGGTGAGATGTGCGTGGGGGCAGTGCCTGTGTGACTCATTCCTCTGCTCCTCCTCCCGCTCCCAGCCAGGCGGGGGAGGCTGGGATTCCAGGCGGCCTGGGCCTGGCTCCCCCTGGCACAGAGGGTGGGAGCGGGGCCAGGGCAGGAGGAGTGCGGGTCACAGGAAGGAGGGGCTGGGTTTTGTGCTCGCTGAGCTGGGGAGGAGGTAAGATTCCTGCCGGAACCAGCTGGGCCTCTGGCCCCCATGACCAATCATCATTCCCCATGACCGATCCCACGTAGGGGGCAGGGGCAGGGCCACTGGAGTTTACAAGGACACGTGGGCTCTGCGATGAAGCTGGCAGTACATTTCCACACTGGGATGGATCCCCCCGCTCCTTTCACCTCCACAGCCTCCGTTCCCCGAGAGCCCCCCAACCCTCTGGGTGGGACTTGAACTTTCAGTTAAAAAAAAAAATGATTTCATTTATTTGTTTTTAGAGAGAGGGGAAGGGAGGGGGGAAAGAGGGAGACAAACATCAATGTGTGGTTGCCTCTTGCATGTCCCCCAGTGGGGACCTGGCCTGCCACCCAGGCATGTGCCCTGACTGGGAATCGAATCTGTGACCCTTTGGTGTGCAGGTTGGCACTCAATCCACTGAGCCACACCAGCCACAGCTGAACTTTCAGTTTTAAAAGCAAGACAATGCAGGGAAAAGCAGAAGGGGTTGCTTACCCTACTGCTGCATCTCCTGCCAGGCTACATCCCTCTCTGAGGTCTGTCCTTACACCCTCTTCAAAGCCAGCAGAGTGAGCCTTTTAAAATGCAAACAGGACCTTGTAACTTAGCTGCTCAAAACTTTTAGGATAACCCGACTGTGTTACCCAGCCCTCCAAGGCCCGGCCACCCTGCACCCCTGCCTCTCACCTCCTCCCCTCTCCCCGTAGCGCTTTAGCTTCCTGGGCCCTGCCTAGGGCAGCGTGCCTGCCCTGAGGCAGGTCTTGACCAACGGTCTCTCCTGAACCCAGCTACTCAAACAGCCCTCTATCCTGGTAGTTTAGACACCCCCTCCCCACCTCCCGCCCTTCAAAAGGCTCTTCCTCCAAAAACCTTTCCTTGACTCCCAGTTCCCCAGGCCAAGATCCTGGCTCCTGCTTTCACAGAATCCAGTACTCCCTCATTGTTCAGCTTATCAAAATTAAAAATCAGTCCTCTAGTTAACATTGACCTAATGCCCATCTCCCGGGCTAGATGTCTGTGAGTTCAAGGGAGCAGGGATGTCTGTCTTGTTTTTACCCCATTACCATTGTTGGAGGAAGAAACACCTGCTGGGGATGAATGGACCAGCAGTTTCTCTCTGTGGATCCTCACCTTCCGCTCCTTGTAACTGGAACTGGTTTCAGTGGGCCTTACTCAGCCTCTTTCGCCCTCCCTCTGGTGACCTGCCTCTGTCCTTGTCTCCGGCCCTGTCCAGGCGTTAACTGCGAGGTGGAGGTGGACGAGTGTGCCTCGGCGCCCTGCCTGCACGGGGGCTCGTGCCTGGACGGCGTGGGCTCCTACCGCTGTGTGTGCAGGCCGGGCTACGGGGGCGCCAGCTGCCAGCTGGACCTGGACGAGTGCCAGAGCCAGCCATGCGAGCACGGGGGCGTGTGCCACGACCTGGTCAACGGGTGAGCGTGCGTCCCGGTGGCCGAAGGCGCGAAGGCTCCGCGGTGGGTTTGGGGGACACGGTGGAGGCAGGGGGCTGCAGCCGAGTGCGTGCCCACTGCAGGTTCTGGTGCGACTGCGCAGACACGGGCTACGAAGGCGCGCGCTGCGAACAGGAGGTGCTGGAGTGTGCGTCGACGCCCTGCGCGCACAACGCGTCCTGCCTCGAGGGCCTGGGGAGCTTCCGCTGCCTCTGCTGGCCAGGTGCGTGTGTGCGTGCGCGCGCGCATGCGTGCGCGAGTGTGTGTGTGCGTATGTGTGCGTGCGGCGTGAGGGCGCAGGGGCAGGTTGGTGGGCCGGCGCAGCCTGGGGCAGTGGAATACGTGCGCAAGTGCACGCACCTTCCGTGGACCAACTTTCCTGATCTGAAAATGGGGCTAATCGTAGCGCCTGCTCCCAGGGTTGTAAGAGTAAAGGTGTAATGCCCATGAAGTCTAGGCACGCGGCATGGCACGTGCAAAGAGCTCGCTTCTACTGGTGATACTAGTAAGATAATGTGAGCTGAATAACGCTGTCAGGATCATGCCTACCTCCTTCGTTGTGTCTCCCTCTCTTCTGAGATGCGTGACCATATTCTGAGCTGTTGTCCTAATTTAGCCTTGGGCCAGCCTGGCGTCTGTGGGGTGGGGGTGGGGTGGGTTACTGCCCGAAGACTCCGTGTGACCTGATGTCCATGCGTATGTGCCCCCAGGCTACAGTGGCGAGCAGTGCGAGGTGGACGAGGACGAGTGTGCGGCAGGCCCCTGCCAGCACGGGGGCCAGTGCCTGCAGCGCTCCGACCCGGCCCTGTACGGCGGTGCCCAGGCCGCCTTCCCCGGCGCCTTCAGCTTCCGCCATGCTGCTGGCTTCCTATGCCGCTGCCCTCCGGGCTTTGAGGGTGAGCTCCCTACCCCCTTCCAGGGCAGCAGGTCTACCAGTGTCCAAATGCACCAGGAGGGATGCCGGGCTGGGTTCAAGTGCCACTTTTTGGGCCTCATTCTCTCTAGCTATAAAATGGGCCCTTCCGGGTCCAGGCTGACTCTGAGGGCACAGGTGGGAACGACAGCTGGGCCTCTTGCAGGGGACGACTGCAGCGTGGACGTGGACGAGTGTGCTTCGGGGCCATGCTTCAGTGGAGGCCGCTGCCTGGACCTGCCCAATGGCTTTCAGTGTCACTGTCCACATGGCTACACAGGTGTGTGGGGTGGGGTGGGCCCTGCGGCAGGGCAAGGTCGGAGTTGGTGGGTCTGGGGTGAGAAGGTTCCTCTGGCTGATGTGTGGAGGCTGGATTGATGGGGTATGAGGTTAGAGAGAAGGTGGGCACAGTGGCCCAGGTGACAGCTAAGCTGGGACTGAGCTGGGACCTGGGTTTTGGAGGTGGGAATGGAGGGGGCCAATCAGGTTGAGAAATATTTAGGAGGGACACTCTACAGGTCCTGAGGGTTATCCAGGTGTGAGTGGAAGGTGTCGGGGATGCCAGCTGAATTCATGTCCCGCGTGGTTCAGCCTTGTCCACTCTGAGTCGGAGTGTCTGTGGGGCACCCCCAGAAGGAGCCTGGGGGGGAGTTGCCAGTTGGGCTGAGCTCCAGGGCTGTGGTGTGGGCTGGAGTCCGAGACCGGCGGTTAGGGGGGTAATCCCGGCAGCTGGGGCCGCGGGTGGCTGAGGTTGTTGTGGAAAATGTGTGGAGTGATGGGCAGAGAGAACCCCAGACACCTCACATCAAAGGGCTGGGCAGGGGCCTCGGGGACAGAGGCACTTTGGCCAGGACGGAGAAGGCAAAGGCGGGGTGGGGGTGGGGTGGGGCAGGCATTGAAGATAGTGGGGGGGCAGTGTCTGGAGAAGGATGAGCTTGACCTTTGGGGTTCTGGGGCCTGCTAGGCAGGAGTTGGGGGTACAGAAGGCATCTCCCTGCCTTGGGTATACCAGATGCCCAGACACTCAGACACCCTCCCACCAGATGCTGGTGACCAGGAAGATCTCACTCGCTGAGTGTCCCTGCTCCCTCTGGAATGCCTGGCTCACTTCCCCCACGCTGCCCACATTCCTGCTGGGCACACTGCCCCCGACTCGGCAGGGCTCCTGGGCACAGGCTCCCACGCCTAGGGGACAGGGTGGTGATCACCACCGTCCCCTCTACCCCTCGCCCACCTGAAGACACTAGGACTTGGTGCCTACCCCCTTGGGTGGCCCATCTTCTGCTCCTGTGGACTGCGGTTCCCGAGTCCTGCCTCGCGGGGGCCAGGCCCACCCATGTGCCACCACACATGCCTGGCCTTTGAAGAGCGTTCTCTGTGCATTTTGTTACCCCCTCACCACGTCCCTGTGAAGCAGGCGGTTAAATCCTCACCTTTCCGACGGGGCCACGGAGGCTTTAGAGAGAGTGTTGTCCTTCAGGTTCCCCAGCGTCAGCAGGAGCTGAGCTCAGCTCATGGCTGCCAGCGAGGTCAGACCTCTAAGGTCAGAAACCAGGAGGGGGAACCGCCGGCTGTGGGGCTGGGCTCCCTGCCACTGTCCATCCCCATCCTCCCATTGGGTCGTGCTTGGCCTGGGGGAGGCCGGGGCCTGGCATTCCTGAGCGGGCCCTGAAGGAGGCGGCCGGACCGGGAGGGAGCTCTGCTCCCCAGCCTCCGCGCCCGCCCAGCCCTCTCAGACATCTGGGGAAATGCAATGGGGCTGCAGGCTCTGTGGACCTTCCTGGGGGGCCTGTGGCTCCTGGCAGGTATGGAGGACGGTGGCTTTGGGCATGGGGAGGTGGAGCTAGCTGTCCTCAGAGGGAGGCCGTGCTGTTTGTGGGCTGATTGGTGGCTTCTTTGGGCCGGGGTTCCCCCAGCTGGGACATGGGAGCAGGGCCAGCCTTGGTTGTTCGCGGAGGCTCTGGCTGAGCTGGGGTTGGGCTGTGGCCTCCGGACCCAGACTGGGGCCCGAGCACCTGGCGTGGGAGCTCTTGGAGGGAAGGGGGAGGTGCCCCTTCACAGCCGGCGTGGAGACCCTTGGGCAGAGGGACCGGGAGGCGAGAGTCTGGTGGTTACTTGGAGCGCCACAGGTGCACACACCCGCCTCCGCTCGCTCCTTCCGTTCCGCTGTCCGCAGAAGCCATGCTGGGCCCTTTGCTGGGTACCAATGCCATACTTGGGCCCCCAGGGGAGATCTCAGCTGCACAAACAGATACTGTCCATCCAGGGTGCTGGGGCGCTGTGCCTCGGGGTGGACAAAGAGTAGGGAGTGGCACAATAGCTTGAGGCTGAGAGTCAGAGGAAGCCTCCTAGAGGAATAGTCCTTTGAGTTTGGGCTTTGTAGGATAAGTAGGAGTTTGAAAGGCAGGGGAAGGGAGGATGAGGCATTCCAAGCAGAAGGAACCATAGGAGCAAAGCCCCAGAGGCAGGACTTTCCAGGAAAAGCTTGGAGGAACAGGCAGTTCAAGGTTTGCAGGGGGAAGGGCTGAGACGTGAGTGACTGGCAGGTCCAACCCATGAGGAATCTCGTTGTCAGGGTGAGTGATCGGACCTAAGGCAGCAGAGGAACCTGGTCAGGTGACCTTCAGAAACAGATCTCTGGCTGCTTGTAGGGACGGATGGCAGAGGAGGTTCTGAAGTCAGGCAGACTAGAGGAGGCTAAACTGTGGCGCAGAGAGCGGGTGAGGCAGGAGAGGTGGGGTGCAAGGAAAGGCAGATTGGAGAGTATTGGGGGGATTGAATCCACAGGGCATGGAGACTCACCAGACATAGCAGAGAAAGGGGCATCTTGGGCTCCAGCCTCTGAGGTTTCAGGGGACCATGGAAAATCCATCAGGGGTTGGGAATTGGTTTGGTTGGTGGGTACTGAGGTCCCGGTCCCAAGAGGTATGCAAGCTCTGGGCCGAGACTGTGGTTCTGGTCTAGGATGCTGAGCTTTGGCCTGGTCTCTCCCAAAGGCCTGACATGTCAGGAAGACGTGGACGAGTGCCTGTCGGGGCCTTGCCTCCATGGTGGGACCTGTGATGACATCGTGGCAGGCTACCTCTGCCGGTGCCCGGAGGCCTGGGGTGGGCATGACTGTTCTGTGCAGCTCACCGGCTGCCAGGGCCACGCTTGCCCCCTGGCTGCTACCTGCGTCCCTACCTTCGAGTCTGGAGTCCACAGCTATGTCTGCCACTGCCCACCTGGTACCCATGGACCTTCTTGTGGCCAGAATACCACCTTCTCTGTGGTGGCGGGGAACCCTGTGCGGGTTTCAGTGCCTGCCGGTGTCTCCCTGGCTCTGGCGCTGAGGTTTCGCACCACGCTACCTGCTGGTGCCTTGGCCACTCGCACTGATACGCAGGACAGCTCGAAGCTGGAGCTAGCCCTGGCAGCGGCCACACTGCAGGCCACACTCTGGAGCCATGGCAACACTGTACTTGTCCTGAGGCTGCTAGACCTGGCCCTAAATGATGGCCAGTGGCACCGAGTGGAGGTGACACTTGACCTAGGGGTCCTGAAGCTGCGCCTCTGGCATGAGGGCTGCCCTGCCCAGCTCTGCGTGGCCTCCAGTTCTGTGGCCCCGGCTCATCCTGCCTCCACGGCCAGGCCTCCCGGCGGGCCCTGCTCTCTTGAGCTGGGTGGCGCGGCCTTTGCAGGCTGCTTCCAGGACGTACGTGTGGATGGGCACCTCCTGTTGCCTGAAGATCTCGGGGAGAATGTCCTCCTGGGCTGCAAGCGCCACGAGCAGTGTCAGCCTCCACCCTGCGCCCACGGAGGGGCCTGTGTGGACCTGTGGACACACTTCCACTGCGACTGCCCCCGGCCCTATCGTGGCCGCACGTGTGCTGACGGTGAGGCGCGAGCCGAGTGGCCCCGGGGCAGAGGTCCTGCCTTCCCCCATCCCACAGGCCTCATGCCTGGCACCCTCTCTCCCTGCAGAGGTTCCTGCTGCCACGTTTGGCTTGGGGGGCACCCTGAGCTCTGCATCCTTCCTGGTCCACCAGCTGCCGGGCCCCAACCTCACCGTGTCCTTCCTCCTCCGCACCCGGGAACCTGCTGGCCTGCTGCTCCAACTTGCCAACCACTCAGCAGCTATCCTGACAGTGTTCCTGAGGGAGGGCCAGATCAGGGCCGAGGTGCTGGGCAGTCCTGCTCTGGTGCTCCCGGGGCCCTGGAACGATGGGCTCCGCCACCTGGTGACACTTAGCTTTGGGACTGACCAGCTGCCGGGCTTGAGGCAGCAGGTGCACGTAGGTGGGCGACTCCTCCCTGCTGATGCCCAGCCCTGGGGTGGGCCCTTCCGAGGCTGCCTCCAGGACCTGCAACTCAATGGCCTCCACCTCCCCTTCTTTCCACTGCCTCTGGGGAACTCAAGCCAGCCCAGTGAGCTGGGCAGCAGGCAGTCCTGGAACCTCACCATGGGCTGCGTCTCTGAGGACACATGCAGTGTGAGTGCCCCGCATCTCTGGGGTCAGCATGTCTTTCTCCTGCCGAGGAAAGCACCCTGCCCCAGGTCCCGCTGTCAGCGGCAGTGAAGGACTCGTATTGATCCCCCCTCTGGCCCAGCTGCTCCTGCCCTCTGGTGGTCCCCGTACCTCCCTCCCAGTCCTCGTCTGAGGCAGACACCCTGATCCAGGCGAGGGCCGGCTGCCAAACCTTTAGGTAGGACAGGGACCCCCGTGGCCCATGAACAAAGCGCCAGCCCTGGAATTGGAATAGCCTGAGCGTGAACTCTGGCTCCTCTGTTTACTGGCTGAGTGACTCAGGCAAGTGGCCTCTCCTCTCCCTGCCTCAGTTCCCTCGTCTGTAAAGCGGAGATGATAGTAACTTCCTATTTGTCTGTGAAGAGGTAATGTGTCTGTACTAGGTGCTCAACTGAGAACCACTGCAGGGGTGGTTGTGGGGTGGGGAGGGGGATGCTTCTGCAGGCCTCAGCCAATCCCTGTCCTGCTTCTCCTGCAGCCTGACCCTTGTCTCAACGGTGGGACTTGCCTGGTCACCTGGAATGACTTCCACTGCACCTGCCCTGCCAACTTTACAGGGCCCACGTGTGCCCAGCAGCTGTGGTGTCCTGGCCGGCCCTGCCTCCCGCCTGCCACCTGCGAGGAGGTCCCTGATGGCTTCGTCTGTGAGTGAGCAGGTTTTTGGAGGGGTTATTATTGCCTGGCCTGCCCTGGAGGGTAGGGGCGCACGGTTTGTGGGTAGGGAATTGTGAGGGAGTAGAAGGGAAGGTGAGGCCTCAGTTCCTGGGATCATATGTTAGGTGGCTGTGCGTTCCCCGCCCACAGTTGATGGGGGGAGGGGGACGTGCAGCAGATGTTATCACCCGGGTGGGTGGGTGTCAGTAGGCCATCACCGACGCTCCATGTCCCCGCAGGTGTAGCAGAAGCCACATTCCGAGAGGGCCCTCCGGTCTCATTCAGCGGACACAACGCATCGTCAGAGCTCGAGCTCAGTGGTCTCTCGCTCGCCTTTCGTACGCGCGATTCCGAGGCTGGGCTACTGCGCGCTGCCGCGGGCGCCCTCGCCGCCGTCTGGTTGGCCGTGCGCAACGGCTCGCTGTTGGCCGGCGTGCGTAGCGGCCGCGGCCTGCCGAGTGCGGTGCTGCCCGCGCCCGGGCCGCGCGTGGCCGACGGCGCCTGGCACCGCGTGCGCCTGGCCATGGAGCACCCCGCGGCCGCTGCGTCACGCTGGCTGCTGTGGCTGGACGGCGCGGCGACGCCCATGGCGCTGCGCGGCCTGGCCGGCGACCTGGCCTTCCTGCGCGGCCCGGGTGCTGCGCGCGTCCTGCTGGCCGAGAACTTCACCGGCTGCCTGGGCCGCGTGGCGCTCGGAGGCCTCCCGCTGCCCCTGGCGCACGCGCGCCCCGGCGCTGATCCCGGGGCCCGAGGGCACTTCTCGGCCTGGCCCGGAGCGCAGGCCCCGCAACTCGGCTGCCACGGCGAGCCCGTGTGTGTCTCCTCGCCCTGCCTGCACGGCGGCGCCTGCCGCGACCTCTTCGACGCCTTCGCCTGCGCCTGCGGCCCGGGCTGGGAGGGCCCACGCTGCGAGGCCCGCGCCGACCCGTGTCGCTCGGCTCCCTGCGTCCGCGGCCGCTGCCACGCGCGCCCCAACGGCCACTTTGAGTGCCGCTGCCCGCCGGGCTTTGCGGGCCCGCGCTGCAGGTGCGGACGGGGGCGGCCAGGATCCGTGGACCAGTCAGTGACGCGGGGCGGGTGCCTGTTTGCGGTTGGTTCTGAGAGACGCCTCCGGGCGGTGAGCAGGGCAGAGAATCCTAGGGCCAGTCCTTCCCCCTGAGCTCCCGTGCGGTGCCGTCCTTGTGAATTGGAACCACAGCCCCCTAGATTTGCCAGATAAAATACAGGACACGCAGATAAATTTGAATTTCAGATAAACAGTGCTCTTGTCTGGGTGTGGGGGCGGGGAACCCCGAGCCGGTCTTGAAGAGAACGTTGATTGAGGCTGTCCTGCCCCGGCGGCCACCACTGATACCCACTCGCATTAGTCCCGGGGGTCGGGGACAGAGTGACTAGCCCCCTATTCAGTCTGGCTTCGACAACCCCCACTTCCTTTGGAGCCAAGCTGTGGAAGGTTGTCCGGGGGAGGACTGACCTGCCCATCTGTCCCCCCATGCCCCACGCCTAGAGTGTGAGTTTTGTGTTTAGGAATCTGCTTTTGCTCCGGGGAGAGTCCCTCTTCCGTTTTGCCAGCTTCTCAAAGGACTGGGCCACGGGAGGGATTCCCAGCCTGGGCCCACAGGCCCCACAGCTCGGGGCGGGGCTGGAGCTGCGGGGCGCAGCCCCGTGTCCCGCCTCCCACCTCAGACACTGCTCCCGCGACTGATATCAGGGACCACAGGACGTGGGCCCTGAATTCCACAGATGGCAACACGGAGGCTCGGGTGGCCCGTGGTCATGGGTGGTGGTGGGCAGGCCCCAGGCGTCCTGCCCCCAGGCCAGCTCTGTGCGTTCTCCCCAGGTGGCCTGTCCAGCCAGAGGAGTGCAGCCTGAACGTCACCTGCCCCAATGGCAGCCCGTGTGAGGGTGGGCCTCGGGGTGCCAACTGCAGCTGCCAGGAGGGCTTTGCTGGCCTGAGGTGGGTGTGGGGGCTGGGGCCTCGGGGGTGGGCTGGTGCGTGCAGAGAGCTGGGCAGGGCGAATGAAGTGGGGTACTCACCGTCAGAGCCTCACTGCCATCACAGTGCCAGACAGTCCACCTTTGTCACTTTCCAGGGCTTTGAGGCCATCCTCTGCCGTGCAGACACCTGCGGGGGGCGTGTTTGGCTGGAGGGGTGTCTTAGAGCCCCTCGCGCTGCTCCTGACCTCACGGTGCAGACCACCTGTGCCCGGACCACCTGGGGAGGCTGGGAAGGGGCAGGTTCTGTGCCCACTGCAGACAGGGAGTCAGCACCTGGGGCCTGGACACGGGCCGTCCTGGGCATCTGGTGGAGTGCGAGTCGCTCTCGTCATGAATGCCGGGGCAAAGGCGGGGGGCGGGCGATGGGGGTCACATTGATCCTCGGCACCTGGCAGGGCCTGGCCAGGCAGGGACAGTGCGTGGCTGAGCTCTGATGCCTGTGGAGGGCGTTTGAGGAGCTAAGCAGAGCAGCCAGGAGAACAGAGTGTGCACGGGAAGCAGCAGGTTCCTCCACCCTAACCCTCTTCTCTGCCTCCCAGGTGTCAGATCTCCTGTGAGACCAGCCCCTGCTTGAATGGGGGCACCTGCCGGGCACTTCGGGGGGTGTACGAGTGTGTCTGCAGCACGAGGTTCTCCGGCCAGTTCTGTGAAGTGGTGGTGAGTGGCGCCGGGGGGCGGGGTGCCCTGTCCTGGGCTTCATGGGATGTTGGCGGGGCGGGGTGTGTGTAGTACACCTGCTCCTGGACCAGCCTGTCGTGGGGTGGATGGCAGCAAGGGAGACTCGGGTCCCTTCCACACCCACCATGCAGGAGGCATTTTCACTCTGGGGAGAGCTTGGGTCCCCCGCCATTTCTCTGGGGACTGGCAGTGAAATGTCTGGGCTCACCAAGTCTGACCGGACAGTATTCAGGGCCCACAGGTTCTTGGAATTCTGGGATTTAGGTTGGTGAACACCAGAGCCTGTCACCTCCAGGGGCTTCTGAGCCAGGATGCTAGAGCAGGAAGGTTGGAGGAGCCCAGGATTCTGAGCCCAGGGCTTGGCGCTCTGAAGGCAGCCCCTGACCTCAGGGAGTCTTAGCTGAAGAGGGGCCCACAGGCAGCCTGAGCTTGAACCTCCCCTTCGTCCCTCCCCCCCAGGAGCGGGGTTGGCCCTGCAGGTGGGGAGCAGGCGGGAGCCCACAGTGGGTGCTGGTGGGAGGGGCGGTGGGCAGGGAAGCCTGGGCAGGGGCCTTGATCTCCACAGGCTTCTGGCAGCCCGGGCCATAAACCTGCAAATCCCCTCTGCTTCTGGGGACTGTTTCCTTTCAAGTGGAACTTTTACAGCCTCTGGCTCCCAGCCCGTCTTCCCAGAGCGAGGGAGATAATGGCTTTACGGCTCCCCTAGCAGTGCCTGGGGACGCACTGTGAGGGCCTGGCTTGGGGCTGGATCCGCTGTTACTATAGCCCTGGGACCCTTCTCCAGGGCTGCGTGCTGGGGCTTGGGACCCAGGCCCCAGGGGGTTCGGAGGCCTCCCAGGACAGAGGGAGACCCGTGGCTCGGGAATTCTGTGATTCTGGGACTTCTGAATTGCAGGCTTTTAGAGTCTTTGATGGGGGCACCCTGGGAGTCTGGGGAGAGGGGAGAGTGCCCCCAAAGTCTGGCCTAGTCTCCCTGGTCGGGGATGGGCCAGCCCTGCTGGACTCTGCTCACCACAGCCCATCAGTCTCCCTGGCTGCTGCCTGAGATCCCTCCCACTCGGGGGTTAAGCATGGTCTCCATAGACACTTTGAAACACCAGGCCACTCTTCAGGGTGGGGAGGGGTCAAGTCCCATTGCCTCAGACTGAATGAGTTTATTGCTGGGAGGAGGAGGCCAAATGGCAAGTCTGGGCACTGGGACTCAGCTTGGCCAGTGACAGAAGGGCACCGCCTGGAATTTGAGGCTGCAGGGAGATGGCATGGTGTTGGGGGCAGACAGAGAAGTGCCAGCCCTGGCTTGCCACCGACTGGTCACGTGTCTAGGGAACCTGGGCAGAGCCTATTTTCTTGAGTGCCTAATACGCAGGCACTGCTCCGGGCACTTCGGAAAACACCAGTGGACAAAACGAACTGATCTCTGGGCCCGGGGAGGTGAGGGAGTGGTCTCTTGCCACTTCATCGTGCCGCTGTGGGTTTCTGTGAAATCCCATGCACTGTGCTTAGCTCAGACTGGGTGTTCAATACCTGTCTTCTCTCCTTCTCGCTAGAACCCCTTTGCCCCATAGGACTCTCCTTGCAGTGGCTGGCTTCCATACCCCCGGGGCGGGGGCTCTCGCTACTCCCCAGGAAAGCCTGGTACTAGCTTCTGTTTTCTCTGAGCAAGTCCTGTGCCCCTTTGCTGTCTCCTCCCCTCCTCCACCACCTGAGGCCTCCTTGTCGCCTGTCTTGCAGAAGGGCCTGCCGCTGCCGCTGCCGTTCCCGCTGCTGGAGGTGGCGGTACCCGCAGCCTGCGCCTGCCTCCTCCTCCTGCTCTTGGGCCTCCTCTCGGGGATCCTGGCAGCCCGAAAGCGCCGCCAGTCAGAGGGCACCTACAGCCCGAGCCAGCAGGAGGTGGCCGGGGCCCGGCTGGAGATGGACAGTGTCCTCAAGGTGCCGCCTGAGGAGAGGCTCATCTAGGGCTCCCTGGCTCCCAGCCCAGCACCGTGAGGTCAGGGACAGTCTCTGCCTGGACACCCAAGGAGGCCACTTCCAGGAGCTGGTGGGGAAGTGGCCACCCCTTCCAGGCCTTGGGGAGCTGCCGCAGGGCACAGGGTACCTGCTGGGGAAGTGTCCCCTTTGCTGGCAGCCCCTGCCTCTGTCCCACCGTGGACTGAGGAAAAGGGGACCACTCAGGGCAGCAGAGAGGGGCCTGCCTGGCAAGGCATGCGGCTGTGCAGGGCAGGGCCCATGTGGGCGCACAGGGCCCATGTGTGTGGCGTGCGTGTGCGCGGTATGTGTATCTGGGGATTGCCGATCTGCAGATACTGTGTGAGTGTGCTGGAATGGCTCATGGGCACGTCCACACTTTTGCTGTGTGTGCACGTGACCGTGTAGTGGGCACAGGCCATCCCACGGAGGGGATGGCTGGGCTGAGGGGGCAGCGGCAGGGGCAGCCCAAGGCTGCACTTCTCCTGAGGCCAGACCAGGGCTTGCCGGAGGCCCCAGGCCCCAGCTCCCAAATCCTCTCTGCCTCTGCAGGCTGCCCCTCTGTCTTGGGGGGCAGCTGGGGAGTCAGGGGAGGCCATAGCCAGGGGCCACGTGGGTTCCTGGCGCCCAGAGCAAATGCTGCTTCAGGCAGAGCTGTGTCTGCCTTGTGCCAGAGCCAGGCCCACTCGGGAACACAGATCACAGCCAGGGCGGAGCGGGTGCGGAGAGCGAGGATGGGCTGCTGGGCATGTGTGGAGGCTGTGCAGCCCCTCCCCAGGGCCTCTTGTGGGGCAAGCAGCCCCTGCGCCCCCCACAGGGCTGTGAGGACCCGTGGAGGTGAGAGCTTGACGTCACTGAACTCTGGTCTGCTGTGAAGGGCTGCCTGGGTCCTCCTTTTAGGAGCCAGGAGTAGAGGGAAAGGGGGGGGGGGCAGAGCCTCCCTGGGGGCCATGAGGATGAAGGAGCGACCCCTCCCCACCCCATCCAGCCCAGCCAGCCCAACCACCTCTGGGTTCTCCAGCTCTGCCCGAGCGCTCTCCTCTGAAGCCACAGTGGAGCCCACCCTTCACCTGCAGACAGTCGCCTCCACGCACGCGCACACGGCTGTGGGGGATCCAGGGGACTCAAGGAAGCCCTCGGCTGTGTGCTGGGAATGCTGCTGCCGCCTGGTCTGCTGGTCCTGCAGACAGACACGTGCAGGAAGAACTCGCCACTCTGCTTCGTCTCCTCCTCTGCGGTGCCATCACCGGGGATCTCGGATCCCTCAGGGCATCTGCCTATGGGTGCGAACTTCCAGGTGTCCCCTGAACTTGTTCCTTCCTGGAGCCGGGGAGCCTTCAGCACCATCAGTGACCGGTGACCTGCAGCCCAGCTCTGTGGACCCGGCAGGCCTGTGACCAGCCCACCCCAAGGCCCTGCTTGGGAGGGGAAGGAGCTGAGTTGGGCTTGGAGGCCCGAATGGGAACAGGCTTGGGAGTGGGCTAGGGGTCGAGCCTTCCCTCACTGCCCTGAGCCATGGCCACCGCCTCTACAGAAGGGGTGCTGAAGGTGGCTGGGGCCGCCTTCCCCCCAGCCTCCTCAAGGACGCAGGGATACCAGCCTTCTCCCCAAGAAGGTTTTATTGAATGCACACGCACACGTCTTCCTGGGGTTTGCAAGTTCAACCTGGCACACGAAGAGACAGCAGTGCCACCAGACCCTTGCACAGCCAGAGACCATGGGGTGGGCTACCCCATCCCCAGTGGGGTTCAGAGGCCTGCCCAGGATGGATCAAACTGGGATGTTTGGAAACACCTGAGTGACCTGGAGGTGCCCATGTGGCCCAGGTGTGACATCCCCTGCCCCGCTCCCAAGCCGCCAGACTGACTCATGAAGGGGCTGTGTGCCCGGCTCTGTCAGCAAACCTCAGGGCCAGGTCTCCACCAGGGGGGTGGCCTCCAGCCCCCCCTCATTCACCACGGCTCCCTGGGGTTCTGGGGATCTCCAGGGACACCCTTGTCCCATCAGACACCTCTGAGACTGACTGTCCACAAATAGGAAATGAGAAATCAGGTCAAAATGCTCACAATTTCCTGCATGTCTCAGATGGTTGTTTTCTTAAATGGCTGGGTCACATTTCAACTTGGTTTATTGAAACTAGTCAATTTCAAGATTCATCAAATCAATAAAGTAAAAAGAAAAAGATAAAAGAAACAATAACAAAACATTTCAATTTAGCTTTGGTGATGTTGGCCTCAGGAATTTCTTTGCTGGCGAGAATCACGAGGGAGCAGGGAAGGATTCTCTCAGCCCTCCTGTCTCCGGGCTGCCAGAAGCCGCCTGTCCACTCCCCCGGGGACTGGGAAGGGCTCAGTGCCCTGCTCCTTCCTGACCCAGGGAGCCCGGGGAGTGGGGGCTACCGCTCAGCTCTGCCCCAGCAGTCCTGCAAGACGGGAGGCTGAGCTCCATTTGACAGAAACACAAGAGCAGGAGAACCTGTAAGGATCAAGGGAGAGCGCCCAACAGCGGTCTGACTCCAGCTTCTGATGCGTTCACATTAACCTGTAGCTATTTTTTCGTCTACAAGTCAAGAGTTGCTGGTGCTCTCAGCCCCACGCAGGGCTGGCTGGGGCTGTCTCTCACGAGGGATCCCTCAGACCCCAAATCCCTACCAAGCCAGATATAGCTGGAGTTTGGGGGTTGGGGTGAAGACTCACAAAAAACGAGTGTGCATATTGCTAGACAGGTGGAAATGCCTCGCCAGGTAGACCCTACTTCCAACTCCAGAACCTCTGTGTTTCGTGCAGACGAGCTCAGGCTGAGGGTGCCACTGACACCTGTGCCGGTCAAGGTGGGGTGTCCAGGGCTGGGCCAGTCAGGGCAGAATGAGGCTCGGGAGGAGAGGCCTTGAGGGGCTTTCTAGAGGGAAGGTGGGTAGGACTGGTCTGAGGCCCAGCCGACCTCTTTAGTGCAAAACCCAACAGGGGTGCCGGGGAGGGGTGGTGGTAGGTGGGCCAGGCACCAGTTGAGTCCCAGACCAGGACTGGTGCCTTTCCCAGCGGTGCGACCTCAGAGCTGGGTAGTATGGGAGGGAGGAGGGGCGGCAGAGAGGGTCCCGTCCCTTCCCACCTGCAGAGCCCAGGCAGACACAGAGCAACAGGAAAAGAAGGGCCGGCTGGCCTCAGAGCCCAGCCGTGCGGGTGCGCCGCTCAGGGGCGCAGCTCAGCCTCAGCCGCCCCCGCCCTCAGTGCTGGGCTCACGGGCTCACTCGAAGGTCTCCCACTGCTTCCTGAGCTGCTCCACTGAGCCTGGGGCCGCGGCTGGGGCCGGGCTCACGTCTTGCTTGGTTTTCTGCAGCAAATCCTCAAAGGGGTCTCTGGCCTCTTGAGTAGCAGAGGACTGCAGTGCTGGCTCCCGGCTCTGGGGGGGTCGGGGAGGAAGGAGTGGGGGGTCTCCAGGCCTAAGGGCCAGCCCCTGCTTGGCCTCAGCAGCCCGGGCACTTGAACGAACCAAGGGCAACGTTCGGATCCTTGAAGGGGCAACTGTTGGGGGGCCCAGTGGCTGCAGGGGGCTGGTGTGCGCACCCATGGGCATCTGGCCAAAGAGATTGGGCATGGAGAGGGCAGACAGGCTGGGCGGAGATCTGTGTGGGACGCAGAAGCCAGAGCTGGACAGTAGGAGGCTGGGGGCGAAAGCTGGCCCCAGGGAAGCGGGCGGGGTCCCAAAAGGCCGGGCTGGTGTGGAGACCAGAGACATGGCAGGCAGTGCCGCTGGCACAGATGGGACAAAGGGGTTGAGTGATGGCTGCGGAAATGGGGTGGCGGTCCCCACGGGGGGGAAGCCGAACTGGGGGGTAAATGGGGTGGCTACATTCGGGGCTGTAGGGCCTGGTGGAGCGGTACTGCCCGACCAGGCTGTGCTAAGCGGGTCCAGGAGGGCCAGGAGGGCATCGCTGCCAGTGGCCGCAGCCCCTGGGGCCAGGCTGAGCGGCTGGAGCAGTTCGGTGGGGCCTTGGGGGGCAGCACTGGGGCACGGGGCAGTGCGCCTGTGCTGCTCTGCCTGCAGCCACTCTGAGGAGAAGTCACCGAGGGCGGCCCCGGCAGCCTGGAGCTTGGCTGGGCGGGCGGTGGGAGGCGGGGGCACGATGCCCAGCTCCGGGGTCTTCCTGCCCTGGGGCCGGGGAATGGTGATGCTTCCCGGGGCGGGAGCGGGTGCTGCCTCCTTGTCGCTGAGGTTCAGGATGCTGTCCCCGTCCTGGGGCCTGCGGGGCAGGGCTGGGGCACTCCGCAGCAAGGCTGAGGGCTTCTCCGGGGGCGCGGCCAGGGCCTTGCTGCAGACGGCCATGTCGTCCTGGCCCAGGCTCCAGAGCTTGTTGTACGGGTGGGCGAGCCTCGAGGCCGCCGGCACCCCGCGGCTCCTCTCGCTCCTGCCCAGGTCCAGCCTCTGGTGGAGGGAACGAGGGAGGCAGTGACCACAGGCTGGCCTGGGACAGCCTGCACGGCAGCGCTTCCCCCCTTCCCCGCCCCCCTGGCCCCCCCGGTGTACTGGGCAGGTGCTGGGGTTAGCCCCCTGGGACACAGAGCAGCTGGGAACTCAGCCCAGGTCACCAGCAGAGAGCCTGCGGCTGTTCTGTGTGGCGCAAAGGGTTCCAGAGAAAGCCCTTGTCCTTTTATGCCAGGGTTCCATATAGTTTTAGGAAGATGACTGTATTTATGGACCGTCTACTGGTTGGGCGCTGTTTACATGTCACAGCACATGGGCCCTTCTCATCACCTGTGAGGCCAGGAGGGTGAGTTGGGCTCAGGCCCGGGCGAAGGCACACTGGCTGGGGAGGAAAGAGGGCTGGGCTCCCATCCAGGCTCGGCTGCTCCGAGCTCCACAGCCTGGGCCCTGCCTCCCTCCCCTTGGGGGTGCCCATGAGTCAGTGGGTCCGTGGGAGCTCTGGGAGTTGCCCAGTGTGACCAGCCAGCAGCCCCCACTTGCGAGTGAAGAAACAGGCACAGAGAGCGGACGTGACAGGCTGCCAGTCACAGGGGAAGGTCCGTGGCTACATGCAATGATCCAGGACCCAGGAATTTTGATTCTCACTCTCTCCCAGGAGCCTTCTCTGGTGGGCATGGAGCAACCCCACTCCACCGGGGGTCCAAGCCCTGTGTGGGGGCTGGGCTGGGGGTCCTGGGAGAGCGGCCTGGGGCACCAGCCCGCTCCACCTCTCTCCGATGCACAGAACGGCAGTGCGGGCAGCCCTCCCTCACCTCTCTGGCAGCCATGGAGGGTGCGGTCTGGTGGGTCGCCAGCCTGCCTGGCAGGCACTGCGGTCAGGCGGACCCTGAGCATTGCTGAGGGCCTTGGAAAAGTCACTGTCACGCGGAGGGGGCGTACTCAGGTGTGAAAGCCCCAGTCCTGGCAGGTGCCCGCCCCGCCCCCACCATACCTGATAGTCAAAGGTCCCGGGCTGTTCCCTCAGGTCCTTGGGGGTTCGAAGGTCCTCCAAGCTCTTGGCCTGGCCCAGTGGCTGCAGTGGCACCTCCATGTCCAGGCTGCTGAAGACGTCCTCCAGGAGGTCAATGCTGGCAGCCCGGTCGGGCGGAGCCGGGGCAGGGCCCACGGGCTCCCTCGCTCGCTGCTCTGGGCTCTCTGCCTCGTCCCCTTCTGCGCTGTCTGACTCCCTGAGTGTCCGATACGGCTGCGGCCTGGGAGGGGGCAGAGCAGGCCAGGTGCTCCCACCCAGAGCCTCTGCGGGACGAGCAAGCAGTCCCTACTCCCGACAACTCCCAGGTCTTGGGGATGGACCGCACCCAGGGGCCTGGGGGACAGCGGCATGTCTTGGGGTCTCCAAGAGCAGGAGCCTGGGCAGTGGCACTCTGACAGACCTGGGCTGCATCTGGGTTCTGCTGGTCCCTGTGGGACCCTGGGCAAGTGACTTTGGCTCCCACTTGCACTCGGAGACCCCCCGGCACCCCCTGCACACCACAGGACCCATCAGATAACTGACAAGCCATTCAGACAGGGCATGAGGAGGGGGCACGACTGGAAAGGACACGCAGGCAGGCAGACACACTCCTAGGCTGTGGCAGACAGGTTTTTTGGGGCCTAAGCGGGAGAAACCCCCCAGGGCGGCTGCCCGGCACACCCCAGGGCCCTCTGGGCCTCAGCCTGTGCTGGCCCTGGCTCCGGGGGGCGGCCGCCTCCTGCCGCGGGGCCTTGAGCAAGTCACTTACCCTCTCAGAGCCTCAGCGGCTGCCCCATTCCAGAGCGCACCTCCCTTGCAGGTAGTGGTGGGCGTCATGGGAGCGGTGCCTGGGGCCCAGCGGGCATGCGGAAGCTAACCGCTTTCTGTACGTTCACGCACCAAAACGTGGGCCCAGTGACAAAGTGTTCCTTTCTCACGAGCCTGAGCCCCAAGGCACCGCAGCGCTCGTGGAGAGTGGTGCCGGACAAACCCTGACCTCTTGTGGAGCCAGGCCCAGAGCAGCGTCCCACCTCCGCTAACCACAGGGCGGCAGTGGGCCGGGGCCCCAGGTCAGGCAGCACCTGCCCAAGGCTCTGGTGAAGCGGGCGAAGGCCGCCACCTGGTGGTCCCCGAGGCTCACTTCCAGGGATCAGGCAGGAGACGCAGACAGTGGAAGGAGGGGCTCAGTGAACCGTCTGGGCTCTTGGCCAGGACTCCATCAACCAGTAACATCTCGCTGAAGCAACACAAGCAGCCCCTGAGGTAGACTCACATTCCTACTTCATAGAAGAGGAAACTGAGGCTCAGAGAGGCTAAGTAACTCACCCTATGTTACACAGCCCTTGGCAAGAGGTGCAAACAGAAGCCAAGTGGGAGAGACTTTAAAAGTCCCTCACTTAATAAACCACCTTACAAGGAATTAAAGCCCCTTTAACCAAGTCTGAACACAAAGAAGGGGATAAAGGAAAGTCAGTGTGCTTCTTACAAGGAAATAGTATTCATTAAAAAGGACCCATTTTGTTTTGAGTTATGATGGGCCAGTCCCTTTGTAAATATGCATTTCAAAAGCATATACTTTTCATAGGTCTTGACTAAAGGAGTGAACATTATCCATTATTTAAATACTTAAGGCACCAATTAACTTATTAAGAACATGGACCTACTGGATTCTGTGGTGGGGGAGTCCTTGCACAGCACCCACCACCTTCACCTGCGAGGTGATTTTAGGTTGATACGTGGCTGAACGTTTCTTATTCCAATGGCTCTACCTTTAATTAATCGTAGAAACAACAACTGATACATTAAGGCTATGATATGATAGATATTGTTGCTTAGGAAAAGGATAATTTTTAAAAGTTTTAAAAGAAAAATTTTAAAGAAAAAGATTCACTGTACAGAAAAGGTGGCATGTGAAGCCTGGGCAGCACTGGCTGAGCCACCACTTTCTAAGGAGAGGTGACCGGGGAGGGGACCGGCCTGCCGTGGCCGCAGGGGAGCCGGTGTCAGCAAGGGCCAGAGCCCTCCTACCTGCCGCCTCCCCCTGCCCCGGGCGCGGGGGACCAGAGCAGGGAGATGGCGGGAAGGACCCTTCCTCTGTAAACGCCGGAACTGTTCATTCCCTGGGGGCTGTGTGGGCGCCTTGGTGTTCAGTCACGGGCAGGCCCTTCCCTTAAGGCCCCTGTTAAAAACACTACAGCTGGTAACTCACAGACAAGTGTGCTATCCCTTTGCTCAGTCCCAGCTATGGAACACTTGTGGGCAGAGGGACAACACCTGGCAAAAAAGGGGAACTAGAAAAGCTTACTTTTTTGGGGCGGGGGTGGCTGCATTGTGGTGAACCTTTTTTATTACAATTCATAATTAGCATGAGGCTCAGGCTACGAATAATGAAATTATTTTAAAGTCAGATCAGTCAAACGTTTGGATATACCAGCATTCATATGCACATTTCACAGCAACAAGTTTTTCTCATTTTAAACCTAAAATCTGACCCTCTCTCAGCACGGCTTTCCCAGATGTGCTGTGGTGAATGAAGGGCTCGGGCATCACCGACCAGGCTCACTGGGTCCGTTAACAGCCAAGGGCACACGAGGAACCCATAAAAGGAGCGGGGACCCGCGCTGCCGTCTCCCACCTTTACAGTCCTGTCACCCTTGTCAACCCACCCCGCTGTCACAGCCCCTGTGCGGCTGGCAGAATGAACACCCTGAGGCGAGGCACACGGAGGTGGCAGCCTGCAAGCTGGCACTGGGGCACCGGAAGGCAGCATCCGCACACACCCGCCACCACACACAAGGGCAAGCAGCGCTGGCCACCCCCTCCCCCAAGCCCCTGGGGAGTCACCAAGCTCAGCTCAGGGAAATGGAAGAAGGAAGGAGAGACCATTCAAAGGGAGCGGAGAAGAAAAAGCTTTCGGTGAAGCCAGAGCTCGGGCCCTCTTCCCGCTGGCATTCCTCGTCAGAGGAGTCTTCGGAGAGGAAGACCGCGTAGTGTCGCAGGGGCTTTGCCAAGCTGGGGCAGAGGGAGACAGAGAGAAGAGAAGAGTTAGGAGGCACCTCAGAAGTCCGCGCGGCAGGGTGCGGAGCAGGCCCCTGGCAAAGGCCGGAGGCACAGGAGGCCTGACAGGCCCCAAGGCAAGGAAGCTGGTCCCGAACAGGAGTCTTAAACACACGATCCCATCATCTGTGACCTGACAATCCCACTTCCATTTGGATGACCCTAAGTGTAGCCAAGCATTATGCACAAAGATGTTCATCACTGCTATGTTTATAATATTAAAACGTGAAACTACCCACATTTCCAGCCAAAGGAAGATGGTGAAGTAAATTATGTATTGTTGGCTAATGTTATCCTTCCAATAACTATAATGTTTATAAAGCAAAACCTAAAAGTCAGGACGCAGAATGGCAATTATACCACATGTTTTCTCATCTACTGATGGAAAAATGCATGGAAAAAAGGCTGGAAAGGTATTTGTCTAAATGTCTACAACAGCCAGTGGGAGTCCGCGCCATTTCCTTCCTGCCTCTCTTTATTTTTCTGTGTCTTCTATGTTTTCTTCAATGTGCATATCTACTTCAATAATCAGGAAAAAAATAAAAAAGTTGAGGAAGAAAGTGAGCCATGGGGATGAGCACTCATGAGAGGGCCCTTTTCTGATGAGCGGCTGCTCTCTGGCGTCTCCCTCAGATGCCTCTTCAGAGAGTCTTTTTCATCTGTGATATGGAAATTAAATATTCATTGTTATAAAAAATACATCTCGCTTGTCAGCCACCTGTGAGCTCTACCTCTACAAACACAAACACGCACACAGCCCAGAGAAACTCCACGCCAGCTCCTATGAATTATACACTGACCAGGGCCCACAAGAGGCCCGTGCTTAGAGAGGGCAGCTGGACTGGTCAGACCTAGGTTCGAATCCTAGCCCTGCGGCTGATGCTCAGGCACCTGGCTGGGGGCCGGCTGTCCATGCCGCTGCCCTGTACATCAGCTGGGGCACGTGCCGGGGAGCCCTGGGGGTGGTGGTGAAGTTTGGGGAGGGGGCGGGTAGGAGACACTGGGGTGCCTGAGGGGGGCTCTCTCCTACCCGGCCCCCCGACCCCGGCAGTCTCCTTTCTTTGCTTTATACAATGCAATTCCATTCAGGGTCTTCCCCCTCTAAGAAAAAGCAGCACATCTGAATAACACGGACAGGAGGCATGGCTGGAGGATAAGTGAGGGACAGCAGCTGCCACCAGGGAATGGGAGAGTGGCGTGTGACCCGTCTCAGCCACCATCTGCCATCACGGGTGCTCTTACCCAAGAATACGCTGTCCTTTCAAAAGCAGCACCAGAGCGGCTCCCAGGGCCACGGAGCTCCCCAGCACCTTCCCACCCGAACCCCCGCGTGTTCTTGCATCCTCCCGGGAAGTTGGCCAGGCAGGGATTTTCCTCCTACTGAAGGGAGCTCGAGGCAGAGAGAGAACGCCTCTTGCCCAGGGTCACGCACAGGGAGGTGCTGGGTCACAGCGTTCCTCTTCCAGGTCGCCCAGGTGGGCCGTTTTCCTCTGGACTCACGAGGGCGGGAAGGTTTCACGTGCAGAAACAGGCACTGGCTGCCCTCAGGACAAGGCTGCCTGGCTCTTCCGCTTCCACTGGGACATACAACAAGGCGCAGCAGGAGAGCCACTCCCCACACAGCCACTGGAATCCTGTTCTGTGTCACAAACCCGACCGTGTCACTCTCCTGCTTAACACCTGTGAACCTGCTGCTCTGCATTGCAATTTCTTGGCAATCAGTTTTGTGGTGAGTAAACCCACTGAGTAAAGCATTGGAATAATAACGTTAGACACTGGTGGAGTGACGGGCTGGATGGGTGGAGGTGAGGGCTGCAGAGCGGCGGCGCCAGGTCCGCGCTGCAAGCAGGGCAGACACCGCGCTGGCCCTGGCTCTCGTGCGCACTGCCCCCCCAATGCCACCTGCCTGCTGTCTTTGCCTCGTGCTCTGACTGCTCCTCCATCGTGGAGACGCAGCCCAAACAGCCCTCTTAGAAAGGCTTCCTGGAGTCGCCAGCTGGGTTCTCTCCCTAGACGGTTAGCTTCTCCTTGGGCTGCGTGTTTGACCACTTCATTGCTATCACTTAACCTCTTGCGATTCTATTTCTGAGTTGAGCTCAAGGGCAGGGCCTGGCTCATTCTCCTCTTGGTCCCCACCTGTGGCGCAGCATTAGTACAATGAAAGTTTGCTGATCAAATGAATGGCAGCCAGCAGTGCAGGGAGACAAGGTACCCCCCTCCCACAATTTTACCCATCTTCCTGGAGCCCCAACACAGCAGGTGTCCCTTTTACCAGCTTGTGGCTGCTACATAAATGTCCCTCCTCTGCCCTGGCTGGATTGCTCAGTTGGCTGAAGCATTGTCCCAAACACCCAAAGGCTGCGGTTCGATCCCCTAGGTTGCAGGTTTGACCCTGGTTGGGGCGTGTATGGGAGGCAACCAATCCATGTTTCTCTGTGCCCCGCCCCCCACCAAAATCAATAAATACATCTCCCTTTGAGGTGCTGGGACCTGTATAACGGGACAGCATTCAGGGGTGTGGGGCAGGTGGGAGACTCAGAAGAGTGTTTCACGTAATAGCCACGTGTGGGCCCTATGCCAGGGGCTTTGCATAGTCTATTTCTACTCCTCCTAACAGCCTAGCAGGAAGGTCTCAATACACTGACATTATAGAGGATGAGACTGCCCCAAGTCCATCTGTTCGTCTGTCCATCCCTACACCAACCAAGAGGTACTTGCTAGGTGCTTGCTAGGCGCAGGCCCAGTGCTAGCTGAGTACTGGGAGTCACTGGAAAGGAGAAGATGTGACCAAGTGACCCAGCCAGGAAGAGAGGAGCAGCGATTCCAGCCCAGGGCCCTGGCTTTCCTGTCCTCCGGGCTGGCGGCAGATGTTTACCAGGAGGACACGCACCCCTCCTTGGGTCAAGCTGAATGAGGCTGCTGGGAGGCCCTCAGAGCCATCGTGGGTGCCTTCCCAACACTCATCCAAGCCCGGCCCCGGCCCCCGGCTTTGATAAGGAAACAGAGGTCTCAGCTTAGCACATGAACCGAATGCTGCTAAACCTGCCAGGAACGTTTGGACTCGTGCGAGAGCACAGAGCCTTTGTCCTGGACTAGACCTTGACTTCATCGGCCCACGTCACTGTCAGAACCCAGTGCCTCCCCACACTGGCAGTCGCGGAGCGGGGCTGGGGCTGGGGACGGGGGAGAGGGAGCCCCGACGTCCAGCTCATTGGCCAGGCCAGGCTCATTAGGCAGTGGCTTCAATGAGAGGCCCTGGGCATCTCCCGAACACACTGCCTACCTCTCGATGGACAGAGCGCCCGGAGGGGATCTTCGCCGTGGGGTTGGTTCGGTCCGATCAGTGTTTTTCAGGTCCAGGCTTCGGGCCACGTGCACGACGTTGAGCACACTAGCACTACTTACAAGTACAGCGTCTCATTAATTCCTATCACCTCCTCATTTTGCACATAAATAAGCCAAGGCTCAGAGAGAGGGAGTCACTTGCCCAGTGTCACACAGCAGCTAAAAACAGGCCTGCGAATCTGCATTTCCCCCAGCTCTAAACCACTTTGCGATCCTGCCTCTCCAGTTCTGTGGATCTGAAACAATGCAATAAGGGGTAGGGTGTTTCCCTTTCCACTTTCAATAAAAGGTGAGATTTCAAAATAAACTTATTTAAATTCAGCTGCTCATGTTCTCCCATGAAACATACAGTCAGATATTTGTCAGAGATAAAGGATGAACCGTCGAAAACGTCCAGGTTTAAATTTTTTATTAGCTTAAGGCAGAATATGAAAAAAAAAAAGTACCTCTTCCCTCATTAACCCAATTCAGCTACTACCCTGCAGTCTGCCACCCACCACTTGCCTGGATTTTATTATACACAAATTGCTGTCTGTGAGAAGGCAGGTCATGGTGAACTTGGCTACCCGGCGAGGGCTGCCGGAGTCTTGGTGAGAAAGAAAGGCCCGCTGTCCATCACTGCTCAGGCCCCGTCATCTCCCACGGCGGCTCCCGCCCCTGCCCACCTCATCTCGGCACAGAGTCCCATGCAGATGACTTCCCGAACCCTTTCTAATGTTTGGTTTAACGTGTCGCCGGTTAGCGCGTGCGTGTGACAGTGGTGACAGGCGCGGCTGTTCCTTTTTAAATACCATGTCAGAGACACGGCGTCAGGAAGCGGGGACGTGCTCTGTGGCTCTCTGCCGTGCCGGGATCGCACGGGCTTATTTTTTAATGAGGAAGATCTGCATCTCGAGAGTTTTTTTCATGTGTCACATCGCGTGGACAAATCAGCAGCACATCACGCTGGCCCAAAATGAAATGCTGACAAATGTAGATATTTCAAATTTAATTGACATTTAAATGTACTTGAGATAAAGAAGGGGAAAAAAAATATCAGCAAGGACTTGGTCTCTGGAGGTAACGAAGGGAGCTGGTGATCCCTTTCTAAAGGATCATTTCTCTCCAGCACAAAGGGTCTTTAATTTGTAAATGCCATGGCCACTCTGGTGACCCCTGACCACGTGGCTCCTATGGGGCTGATGAGCAGGGACGGGCCCCAGGATAAGGCCAGGTCTGACCTCCCCAGTGGATGACAGCCTGTCCAGCCAGCTTTCCACCACCCCCTAATGTCACAGCCAGATGACCTTGGGAAAGTCACCTACTTTCTCTGAATCTCAATTTCTTATCCGTAAAATGGGAAGTCTACAGCCTCCTGATGCTCTTATCATAAAAGCTGAATGAAAACGTTTGTAAGGCGGTTTGCAGAACATCCATCGCATAGCGAAGATTTGATTACTAGATCCATACGCCACATCTGCCTACCAACAAACAGATTCTGTGCAGGGTCTTGCCTGGGTGTTTGAGGACGGACAGGGTGGTCCCTGTCTTCAACGGCCTTCCCAGTTCAGGTTACTGGTCCCCAGCTGGGCCTAGCAGAGCACCTCAGAGTCATCGGCGAGGACCGACCA